AAGCCGCCGGGTTACTAATCACTGATCTCCTGTTTAGGCTTCACCCTGTGAGACGCCTGTAGTTATGGCTCTGCAACTGACAAGGACACGCTAACTGCACCTATAAGCTAGCAGCTTAGTGGTTGCTAAGGTATGGCTAACAGGAAATATATTAACAATGAGTTGCACGACTGTTTGGAAATGTTGGCATGACACAGTCATTGTAACAGCTACTCGCCTGGACACGCTGCAACAGAGAGCGCAAGCATTTCGAGAACATGCTTGAATACGATACCTGGTAAGAAGGAAGTTATAGCTAATGGCACGCTCTGAGTATCACGCACATCACGCTTTTACCAAGCTCCAAAGCAGCCATTTACATTTAACAATAAAAATACAGTTATGTTACATAGATGAATATTCCCTACCTGTAGTCCGGTTGTGAAAAACAGTCGAGCAGGCCTTTGGCGGTTAACCTGGAAGTCTCAGTTACTATCTGAAACAGAAAGCAGTTCATCTGAGCTAAAAGCAAACAGCACATTAAGAAGAGCTTAGCATGGCAAAGTCCAGTGCATCTAATTTTGTACCAATATTTGTCATACGCCACTGACATTGTTGGAGTTGATGATGCTGAGCAGTGTCTGGACTTCTTCTAAGCCGGGAGCTGATAACAAGACACTGAAAACAGAAAAGCACGATGTTAGAACTGATCTCCGTTACAAGAAAGTCCCACTGGGATCGATACATTTCAGCTTTGATTAGCCAGCTCAGGGTTGGGGCCCTGGAGTCTGTCCTCTAACACAGAGGCAGCAGCACTGTCACATCAACACATGCAGACGATTTAGTGTCACGAGTTAAGCGTCCATGCGTTCACATGGCTGTGAAAGGAAACCAGAGCATATACCCCTATTTCACGATGGCAGCCTATAAAGCAAACTCAGCAGTGAGTCCCTGGACCTGTACAGCGTGTTACATGATTTCAACAATGTAATATCTGAATAAAGGCTAAATATCAAAAGGAAAAACAAACGCTCGGGTTCATGAACCATCACAAAGAGCCCCCCAGACACACTGTGTGCGCAACCCAAAGGCCCGGACACAGCGCTCGTCACCAAATATTTGGTAGATGGTTTTCACCGGTGTGTAATGTTCTTCTGCGATTGCACTAATTTGCTCAGATTAAAACTGTGCCAGACAAAACGAGTTTTCAGTTCCATGTTTTATCCGCGCATTCATCCACAACCGTGCATCTGCATAAAATGTGTGTCACTGTCATTAAGTGCATTACTCTGATGCATGGGGATAATGCAGAGCGAGAAACACGAAAAGAAAGAAGAAGAAGGAACGGCAGTAGAGCAACGAGGATGGAAGGATAGGAAATAGGAGAAAATGATAGGAAATGACAGCGTCCTAAATTATCCATATCTAGTGTCTGCAGAATGAGAAAAATGAAAAAGAGGAAGACGCGCGATAGCGTGCATGGAATGACTCATAGCTCTGCTCCAACACATGAAAATGAGCCCGGCTGTCTCCTAGGCAACCATGTTCGTGCAGCCCAATACACACATGCGTGCGTACGGACCGGCGCAGATTTACACACAAACACAGATTCCTAATAATAATCCACCAGAATGCAAATCCTGCAGTGATTCACATTTATAATATTTATCATGCTGGCAGACATCAGAGTCTTTAATCGTGACCTGACTCGACATGCTTCACACTAATGTGGAAATACATTCACAGCAATATCACTCAGTGTGACACAAGTTCCCATTTTTGTTTCCAGCTTTTCGCTTGACTGAAAGCACTCGTGTTTTTTCGGCCATTATGCATATTCTGGTATGTCCTTCTTAGATGTTTACAGACAGTATCCCATCTGATGGATTCACTGTGTGTTTACTTTACTATCTATTTAAAGTGGCTCTTATTAGCCTCGCGCACGCCCACGGGTACGCACGGACGCAGCAGCCGCAAACTCGAGAGAAAGCAGGATTATCAGAGTGTTCGAAAAGGACGCCGCTGTGGCGCAACGTGTCAGGAGGCTTTTGTACCGACAATATTATCTGCAGCTTCACCAGATCATATGTTAGATGTGATGTAATATCTGGTAACGAAGTCCCACCATTCAAAAACAATAAAAACAGACGAGCTCGGAGGGTTCAGGATATC